AAAAAAAAAAAAAGAATTCTAACTTTGAGAAAAAAACACTTTTCCTTCCTAGAGCCAATTATGTAGAAGATTTTCTAGAAGCAGCCTCTATCAGGAAGAACTCAGACAAAGTCCCAACTCAGAGGGAAATGCTCCCTGCGCCAGCCTGAGCCTGCCTTTCCACATGCTCTTCTGAAAGCACTTTCCCCCCAGAAAATTCCATGAGCGGAAGAGCTGGACTCCAACAGTGATCTCCTAAGACGAATCCTTCAGACACAAAGAAACACACACTGGTAATTTCACCTGTGGAGAACACTTAAGGTACAGGGTGAACCCACCCAAGCTCTGGAACCAGGCTGTCCAGGTTCCAATCCCAGCTGTGCCACGACCTACAAGTATGGCCTTTGCTTCTTTACTTGCAAAATGGGAATAAAAAGAGTATTTACCTCCTCGGGTGCTTGGGAGCACTAAAAGGGTCATACAAATAAAGTATCACCATTCTATATCACACATGGCCTGAAAGGTAATCCATAAATTCTGGCTTTTCCCTCCCCTGCTAAAGCTCTGGGAACTAGCAACAAGAGAAACAGTAATAATACAGCAGCTAACATTTATAAATTACCATGTGCCAACCACCAAATGCGTTTTATATGTAAGTCAGTCAATCAATCAATCAATCAATCAATCCTCACAGCACTATCAACAGGGTACTATTATTACTCCTGGAGGAACCTGCTACACAGACAGGTTAAGTGACTTGCCCAAGATCACACAGCTAGTAAGTAGTAAAAATCTCCCAGGCAACTGTTAAATCCTAGGTGTCACAAGATTTTCACAAAATATCTGAGGCTTGGCGTTAAAAGACCATGGGGCAGGGGAGCCTCACTGTCCCTGAATGTGCTTTAATACACTTTTCTCACTTGGCTAACAGGAAGCCAGGCGTACCGGACAAGCACAGACTGGGTGAAAAGCCCAAGCCAGTATGTTTGCTGCCTGGTGGCCAGCTTTATGCAGGCCCAGCAGGGAAAGAAAAGAAAGCCGGGGAGGCCTGGCCTTTGAAAGTCCTTTTCCAAAGTTTCATGGAAGCTTCCAAAGCTTCATGTTTGAGATGCACACCTGCCACTCATTTGCAGAGAGCTTTTGGGTTAATGGTAAACTCCTAAGGCTATCAAGACCTAAAAAGGGCAAGGAAAACTGATCTAACAGTGCACAGGGGATAACAGAGAGAGGTGAGCTGGGCAAAGAATCCTGATAGGCTGTCTGAGCCATTAGGTCACTGGCTAATGAAAACGTGCTCTACTTCAGAAAGCTACCTCCCTCCGCTTTGATGGGAAAGAGTGAGACCTCCTCCGTCAGTCCCCGAGGCCCCCGAGCCATGCCCCGGAGCTAACCTGAAGCACGGAGGCGTGTTGTACAGGGAGCCGTTTCCAGCCTGCACTTTGTAGTCCAGGACTGATGGGCACTCCCTGAGGGCGAACCCCAGCAGGTCATCACGGACGATCACCACCGTGACCCCGGCAGAGCCTACGTTCTTCTGGGCACCCGCAAAAATGACACCAAACTGAAAAAGAGAAGGCATGCTGTTTTAGATACACTTGGTCATTTTTCATAACTGTATTCAAATTTCCCAATGTCTTTCTAAAGTATGAGGAAGTGATTCTATCCTAATCTTGCCCAAAGTGCATTCTATTCTCTAAAGGCATCTCTGCCTGGGAGAGTTCAGAGGCCTGCAGGTTACACATGTCCCTGGTCCCACTCACCAGCAAGGGGCCAGCCCGAACCAATCACTACAAAGACCTTATACATATTCCTATCATTGTACATACGTCCTTTCTACACCCAAACCAATATTTAAAATGGGCCTGGGTGGCTCAGTCGGTTGAGTGTTCCAACCCTTGGTTTCAGCTCAGGGCATGATCCCACAGTCCCATGAGTTCAACCTCCCCGTCAGGCTCTCGCCTGGGAGTCTCTCCCTTTCCTTCCCCACTCACATTGCCTCTGTCTCTCTCAAATAAATAAATAAATAAACCTTTTTTTAAAAAGTATAAAAAAAATGGGGCTAACTGTTCTTGGTAACCAAAAGAAACACAGTTTTGAATGCATTCGTGTTTTTGTAAAAGGACAATCGGAAGATGTTGAGAAATAATAGACAAGCTGCCTGAAAGAGAAGAAAGTTTAGGCAACAGATGTTTAAAGGAACTTCAGAAAATTTTGTCACGTAAGATCCAGAACCCTCTCCCACATCCTCCCATGAACGCTTTGAACGCTTTATAAATATCAAACGGCATCCCAAGGATAAGGAGGGAAGACAGCCGGGCCTGATAGGGAGTACTTTATAGTTGACACTGTTTAGAATTGCCAATGCGCGGCAACTGGTCATAAAAAGTGGATTATTCACAGAATGTGGTATAACCGCACAACGGAAGATTATTCAGCCTTAAAAAGGAATGAAGGTGCGACCCCTGCTACCGCGTGCATGACCCCCGAGGACATTTTAAGTGAAATGAACTTGACACAAAATGACAAATATTGCCTGAATCCCCTTCTATGAGGGACCCGGAAGAGTCCAATTCACAGAGGGTGGTGGCTACCAGGGCCTGGGGGACGACTGAGCAGAGTTCCAGCTTGGGAAGACAAAAAGTTCTAGAGACAGATGGTGATGCTGTTTGCACAACAGTGTGAATGTACTTAATGCCACTGAACTATATACTCAGAAATGGTTAAGGTGGTAAATTTTATGTTATGTATATTTTACCGTAATTTTTTTTTTTTAAAAGGCAGGCTACCATTTAGTGAGTTTGTTTTTAAATGCTTTAAAGGGGGCGCCCGGGTGGCTCAGTCGGCTGAGCTTCCAACTTTGGCTCAGGTCATGATTTCATGGTTCGTGGGTTCATGGGTTCGAGCCCCCATTGGGCTCTGTGCTAACAGCTCAAAGCCTGGAGCCTGCTTCAGATTCTGTGTCTCCGTCTCTCTCTCCGCCCTCCCCCGTTCATGTTCTGTC